CAAGAGATGGAAGTTATACCAATTAGATGTTACAAATGTTTTTCTCCACGGAGATCTTACAGAGGAGGTATACATGAGAGTTCCACAAGGTTTCCATCATCACAAGCCATATCAGGTATGCCGGTTACAAAAATCTCTTTATGGTTTGCGGCAGTCCCCTCGAAACTGGTTTGATAAGTTAAAGTCATCAATTGAATCCTATGGTTTCACTCAATCCAAAGCAGATTATACGTTATTTACTCTTCACAAGGATGGCCACTTTGTTGCTCTACTTATCTACGTAGATGATATCATTCTAACCGGTGACAATGAGGTCATATGCAATGCTGTTAAAAAATTTCTGCAATCATGCTTTCATATTAAAGATTTGGGAATTCTCAAATACTTCCTTGGCATAGAAATAGCTCATAGTTCTTCTGGAATTTTTCTTAGCCAACGAAAGTATGCTTTGGATATATTAAAAGATGCTGGCCACCTTGCATGCAAACCATGTGACTTTCCTCTTGAAAGAAACCATAAACTTGCCATTACAGAAAGTCCTCCTTTCTCGGATCCAGCACGGTACCGAAGGCTCATCGGACGTCTAGTGTATTTAACTATCACAAGACCCGAATTAAGCTATTCCGTTCATGTCCTTGCTCAGTTCATGCAAAATCCTACTACTGCTCAATATGAAGATGTCCTTCACATTTTGCAATATTTAAAAGCTAACCCGGGTCAAGGTTTATTACTTCAGTCAGACAATGATCTCGTTCTTCGTGGATATTCTGATTCAGACTGGGCCAGTTGTCCTCTCACCCGCCGTTCAGTCACTGGCTATTTTATCATGTTGGGAAACTCTCCTATTTCTTGGAAGACCAAGAAACAACCTACTGTGTCTCGTTCCTCAGCAGAGGCTGAATATCGTGCAATGGCAGTAGCTACAGCTGAATTATTATGGCTCAAGTCATTTTTACAATCTCTTGACGTTCCATACTCACAGCCCATGCGTTTACATTGTGATAATCAATCTGCCATGCAAATAGCTGCTAATCCAGTTTTTCACGAACGCACCAAACACATAGAGATTGATTGTCATTTTGTGAGAGATCATGTTTTACGCAATACTATCATCACTTCCTATGTTTGTTCAGATCAGCAGTTAGCAGACATTTTTACCAAACCCCTTGGTATGAAGCGATTTTGTTTTCTTCGAAGCAAGTTGGGTATTTCGTCTCTCCATGCTCCAACTTGAGGGGGTGTGTTAAGATAAGATCACCCTGATCTTATCTTTCTGTTCGTAACAACATTTTTGTTTCCTAAACTATAGCTTGTTACTAGGCCAATAGTGTTGTTATTATTCTGCAGTTATTTTTGTAACAACAGCAACAGCTGTTCTTGTAACAACAATAGCGTAGCTTTCTCTTGCTGTTTGTAAGAGTAACAAACGTATCTTGTATTATTTAAATGGCTTTAAGCCTTCATTAATGACAGAACATTTTACAATTGTTCAATACGTGTGTTACTTCTTTATAATATTTGGGTCAACCAAATAACTTTTTTTACATTTTCCTATCAAACTCACTTTCCAACCATTTTCCTATCAATTACATTTCCCTAGTAAAAAAAAATTTCTCCCGAACGAAACACTACCTTAAAGAAAAAGGCAATGACATTAAAACTGATCCGTTTAATGATTCGATGGAGTTATCGGATCACTAAATTATTGATTTAATTAGTGAGTTATGGTTGAATCATATAATTCGATGATTATATGTAAATTTATAATTTATATTAAAAAAATTATAAATATACTCAAATAGCTGTAAAAAATAATATAAATTTTAAATATTTTAATATAAAAATAATAAATTATTATCCAATAAAAGATAAAACAAACATATAAAGCTTGTGATATTGATATTTCAGGTTCACTAAATAACATCTCTAATTATAAATAAAATCAAAATTTTGTGCATAGTTTTCACCAAAAAAAAATTCCTGAATAGTTATTAGAGATAATATTAATATTATAAGTATATAACTTAAGAAAATTAATAAGTAACAAATACTCGTATATGTCAACTATAACTTTGTTTAGAAATAACTCGGACCGACTCACCGTTATCAAAAAGGCCTTGCGGGCCAGTACATTGTTTGTTGGTTTTAAAGTCTTATTTAGCAATTTGTTCATATGTTTTTTTAGAATAATATTTGTTGACGTTGTTTATTTTTTTAAAAAAATAACTATAGATAATCTGAATGTCCCTTGAGAATATTCAAAAAACAAGAGCTAGAAAATACTTTTGAAATTCATTAAAAAATTCAAATAAATTGGATATATAAATAAAAGACTAAATATTAAAAGATATCATAAATTAATATCTCTGATAATAAAATTAGGAGTGTCATTTTTTTAATAAATAAATTATTTTTACAGAATAAAATAATTTTTTTTTTTCTAATTTGGTATTTTTTATTGTATTCTTTTCCTCAAACACATAATTTTATGGGTTTAAAACTTCTGCTGTCAAAGCAAAAATTTACTCCTCCTACATAGACTCGTAAAAATTAAGCTAACTTAATTTATTTATTTTTACTTTTTGTAACGGTGAATCACATTGAAATCTTGTGTCTGCGGCAAAAAGTAAACTTCGTAAACTTCTGCTGTCACTGTAGAAGTTTAAACCCTAATTTTATTGTTAAAAAGCCTATCTTTTTTCTCAGTCTAAAAATAAACAAATGGCAATTTTCCTCGTTATTCGCATGTGTAATGTACGGTTTCCAATCTATTTTCAAATGCATCAATTTGATTGATGGAGCGTCAACTACCAAATGAGGTATAACGCTGATGTAAGCTGAATGACGTCAGGTTTAATTTATCACAAAAGTTGAAATGACTAATAGAAATAAAATATTTAAGAAATTAAAGTTGTCGTATTTTAGTATATTATTATTTATTATGTTTATACTGGTTAATAAATAATAGTATATTAAAATATTGATATAAGTTTACTTTATGTCAAAACAATATATTAATTCAACTTCAAACATATTTGAAATCATCAGGAACAACCTGACAAAATGTTTTATCAAATTAAGAATAATAGTATATTTTAACTCTCTTTTTTTATACATGTATATTTTAACTCTCTAGTTAAACAGAAAGTAAAATGAAAAAAATAAATTCTATGAAATATTTATTATAATAATTTTATAATATTGGATAAATAAAAAAACATTTTTTTATATTGCTATATTTTAAACGATTTTATTTTTTATTTAGTATGTTGAATTATATATTCAGATAATTATCAAGATACAACAAACAATATACGTGAACAGGAGAGATATTTTTGTGAGTATGAAATTAATATTTATCTTTTTTTTTTTTAGTTTTTTTTTAAACATCAACATTATTGTGTTAATAAGATATTGTATACATAAAAAATTTGCTAACTTTTAACTTTCCTCTTCTTCTTTTTGGTAAAAACCTCTTTTTAAATATTGATAACTGTATTTAATGAATTCATTTAATCGATCGAATTGAGAATAATTCATTATAATTGATTCGTTAAATTCATTTAGCTGATTAATTATTATTCACCTATCGAATTAAAAACAATTGTAATTACTGTTATACTAATTCATTTAAAAGAAGTTTCTTTTAATTGATTGATTAGTTTTTTTATTTATTTACTGAATTGAAAATATTTATAATAAATATTCAATTAATTGTTTTGAGTTGAGTTGATTTTTAAGGTCAAATACGAAAAAATATTAAAAAAATAACTTATATAATCTTATTTTTGGTTGAAACAATGATTAGAGTGATAATTGATAAAGATAAAGCTACTTGCAAAAAATTTATATAATGGAAAATAATTTTCTCGTGTTACACACACAATTAAAAAGTAGGTTCCATCTTCATTTTTTTATTTTTTTATTTTTTTTGTGTGAATCATACTCATGTATTTTATGTGTAGCTTAATAAAATTAATCCTCTTATATAATATATTAGATGTTAGTTGCAGTGCCTGAACGACAGAAGGATCATGGAGGAGACCATTTACGCTAATAAAATAAAAACTAAATTATTGTTTTGATTCTCCAAACATGCTTAACATTAATGTATTTTTTTTTTTAAGATTTGCGATAATAAATTAAATTTTAATGACCAAAAGTGACATCAAAATGTGTTCATCGAAATTGATGTCACAAAAAACTTAACCAAAAAAACCATTTTGAGATTACATTAAATACTTAGAAAACTAATCTAATGTAATAAAATTTAGAGGATCAAATTATTATTAAATATTTGGAGGATGAATGTGATAATTTTAGTCTAAAATACTAAGGGGGGGTTTGTTTCAAGTTTTTGAGGAGGATTACCGGTAATCCTTTTTTGGTAAATGTAATTACCATGTTTGGTAGAATGAATAAATTACGATTCTCGGATATCCAAGGATTATCGGTAATTTGATTTATACAGAAAAGTCACTATTCAGATTACCAAAAATAATATGGTAATTCGGAATACTAATCAGAATACCAAGCAAAAGGGAAAGCACAACAATAAATTTTGAGACAAAAATACCTCAATACACATAAAAATCTAGACCCAATCTATCAATTACAAAAGTAAAAATAGTTTGGAGTTATTTTTGTAAAATAACCTCATATTCCAAGTCATATTTCGTTCTAAACCAAATATGGAATCAGTAATTTTTACCCAATATTCTCGGTAATATTTTGGCGAACCAAACACCTCTTTCGTAAGATTCCAAGTAAACTCAATTTCTACTAAATTTTCATTAATCATGATTTCCGGTCACCAAAAAATTTCTCTTGTACCAGCACACCCAAAGAGAATAATTGTCGAATAAAGACCCGGCCAGAGCTAGAGCCACGACACAGGGTCCCCCCACCTACTTTGATCAGTAGCATCTAATGATATTAATTTGCTTTTGTAAAAGACACCAACTAGGCAACTACTCCAAATAACCGACCACTATTTTTATGAGAAGCGTTCTCTTTTCAATGTAATGTGTGTTTTCTAGCTGGAATAATATTAATGGAGAACAATCCAAGTTCATCCAGAATTGATAGAAAATTCATCGAGAGAAATAGAAGAAATCAAATGAAAGCTCTCTACCGCAAGCTCAACTCACTTGTGCCTCATCAAAGCTCGAGGGTTTTAATTCCCCTCTTTCTCTCTGCCCTTTATATATATATATATATATATAAGCAAAGCTATATTATCTAGTAAATAATAATTTGATAGATGATCACACTTTTGGTTGAATTTGCTGCAGGAGGAAATTTCAGTGACGGATCAGCTAGAGGAAGCAACAAACTACATAAAGAAGTTACAGATGAACCTGGAGAAAATGAAGGACAAGAAGAACATGCTACTAGGAATTGAAAGGCCAAATGAGAGCATGAATCGAGGAAAGAACATGGGGTTAAAATGTCCACAAATTGAGATCCAACAAATGGGCTTAGCCTTGGAGGTTGTTCTAATAACTGGGTTGGATTGTAAGTTCATGTTCAATGAGACCATTCGTGTTCTTCATGAAGAAGGAGTAGATATTGTTCATGCCAGTTATAAAGTCGTTGAAGATGTAGTTTTCCATTCAATTCATTCTAAGGTGAGCTATAAATTTGGCCACTTAATTGATCTTTCCTTTGTGTTTATGTGACTCTGGTTGCATTGTTCAGGTAGGGGACTCTGCCTATGGAGCTGCGAAGATATCTGAGAGGCTAAAGAAGTTTATGTGTGATTCTACCTATAATGCCTCTTAAAAGTATAATAGTCAAAATATAAGTAATTTCAAGAGCATAGTATCGTTTCAGCTAGTAAGAAAATTCATATTCTCTGTTTGTTTCTTGACTCTTGGCTTCATTGAAAATGGTCTGATTTTACTATTCTTCTTTTGATGCGCAGTATATATACAGGGAAAAAAGAAGTATTATTTAAAAAATCTTTTTAGATGATTTACATAAAGTATGACCGGTCATAACAAAGTATGACCGGTTATACTCTGTGTAAATTTGAAAAAAAAAATTTCTCTTCAGTCACATCGCTGACGTGTAAAAGTGAAAAAGAAAAAAAATAACTTTTCAGAATTACAGAGAGTATGACCGAATGATCGGTCATACTCTGTGTAAGTCACTAAAAGAACACAACTTGTATCCTTTTGAATTACACAGACTAAATCCATATATATAAGGATTCAAATTTACTATTTTTTCCGGTTTCTTTTCCCCGTATCTCTAATTGAATAATGACAATTTAGGAAAATAGAAATGTCTCTTGTCGGTATAATATACCAATTGGTGTCGGAAGATGTCATTGGTCTGACTAATCCTGTTTCTGATTTGTATCTGGGTTATCTTTTCCACTAATTATAACTCTCTTAAATCAATTTCACTATGTCTTGGTCGGAATTTTTTAATATGCTTCATGATCGTGTTTATTTCACTCAAAAATTGACATATGTATTAATTTTTTCTCTCTCCTCAGTCTTTTCTTTCATTTTCTCACTTCAGTCTCATCCAATTTTTTTTTGCTCCCGGACCACAGTAACTTCGCTCCTTATGGTCACGTCAAATCTTGAATCTAACTAGGTAATCCTCTTAGGTTAAAAATGTCTCTATCAAATGGAAATATTTTCTCTCTTTAACTGTCAATTTTTTATTTATTGAATTGTCATTATTTAATTAAATAGACTAGAACAACATATTTGATTCCTACAGATAGGCTTGTAAATTAAGTGAACCAAAAGATAACCCGTTTAAGCCATATATGACAACAACTTACAAATATGCAACGAGAATTGTCAAGTGGAAGCTTATCAATCTATAAAGATAAAAGTGTATGTTGATTTTTACCAACATAATGAAATTAGAAAATTAAATCACAACATTCAAGTTGGTTCAAATTTGTGACTCTGCTACGGATACTCTGCGACGGCAACTGACAAATCTGATAAAACTCATTGTATTGAATAATCAAGAACCAGAGACATTACAAGAGTTAAGTATGGATTTATATGAAGCGTGTTACAGAAGGAACTACGTTAACTAATCGTTAGTTAACGTCTAACTAACTTAAACAAACCATAAAACAGAAAACTAACTAATTCCGTTTCTGTCATGGTTAGTGACATTTCTTGGTTCATGATCAGAGTAAGCTTGGGATACATGTGGGACCTTTGATAGGTGTGATACCCCCCCCCCCCCCCACAAGCTGGACGGTGGATGTTGAGCAACCCCAGCTTGAGCAGAATAGTAGAAAATGAAGCAAAGGAAAGTGGTTTGGTGAATACATCTGCTAGTTGATGACATGTGGAGATGGGAAGCAAATGGAGAAGGCCCGATTGTATTTTCTCTCTAGTGACATGACAATCAATGTCAATATGTTTTGATCGCTCATGGAACGTGGGATTTTTGGCCAAATATATTGCTGATCTGTTATCACAAAATACTGAGGCTGGGCGTGTCCATGGGATCTTAAGATCTTGAACAAGAAATTGAAGCCATTGTAGCTCACAGGAAATACTTGCAAGAGCTCTGTATTCCGCCTCTGAAGAAGATCTTGAAATGGTGGATTGTTTCTTAGATTTCCATGATACAAGAGAATCACCAATTAGAATACAAAATCCAGTAATAGATTTACGGGTATCCTGACAACTTGCCCAGTCTGAGTCAACAAAACCAGATACTGATAAGTCAGATTTTGAAGAAAAGAAGAGGCCTGTAGATGGTGCCCCTTTGAGATATCGCAACACTCGTTTGGCAGCAGCAAGATGAGAATCCAAGGGATTGGAGACAAATTGGCTAAGTTGTTGAACAGCAAAGCTAAGATCAGGACGAGTTGTAGTTAGATAAAGCAATCTGCCAACTAGTCTTCTGTAGGATGAAGCATCAGATAATGGGACACCTGATTCACGACTAAGTCTCGCAGTAGATTCCATTGGTGTATTAAGAGGTTTTGCAGCAAGCATACCTTCATCAGATAATATATCTAACGCATATTTGCGTTGATTCAAATGAATTCCAGTGCTAGAACGAGCAACCTCGAGTCCTAGAAAGAATCTAAGATTGCCAAGATCTTTGATTTTGAATTTACTATCAAGGAAACTTTTAACTCGTTGAATTTCGTCCATGCTGTTTCCAGAAAGTACTATGTCATCTACATAGATTAGTAGCACTGTGAATGAAGTAGCATTTTGAAGAGTAAACATGGCATGATCAGCATGAGTTTGTGTATACCCAATGGAGTGGAGTGCTGATGTAAGCTTAGAATGCCATTGACGGCTTGCTTGCTTCAAGCCATAGATGGATTTGTGAAGCTTACAAACTTGATGTGGACGATCACAGGAAATACCTTGAGGTAACTCCATGTAAACATCTTCATGGAGGTCACCATGCAAAAAGGCATTGTTCACATCTAATTGTTCTAAGTGCCAACCCTTGACTGCAGCAATAGCCAGTAATGCGCGAATGGATGTCAATTTAGCTACTGGAGAGAAGGTATCTAGATAATCTACTCCTTCCAATTGAGTAAAGCCTTTTGCAACAAGACGAGCCTTATAACGCTCAATAGATCCGTCTGATTTGTACTTAATTCGATAAACCCACTTGCAACCGATAGGTCTTTTGCCATGTGGAAGATCAACTAGACTCCATGTATGATTTTGGGCAAGTGCTTGTAATTCAGAATTCATGGCTTGTATCCAATGATCAGATTTTGTGGCTTGGTTATAAGTGTGAGGCTCAGTATGAATGCAGGAATTAAGACGAAAGGATTTGTATGATGGTGAACAAGATGCATACGATAAGACATCAGAAAGAGGATAGGGACTTGTAGATGACATACCTGAGTGTGATGTGGTGCATTGAGCTGTAGAGAGGCTATGATGATAGTCAAATAAGTAGTGTGGTAAGGCCCTTTGCCTAGAAGATCTTCTAAGTGCTGGAGGAGCGACTGTGACTTCATTACTGTAATTGAATGTAGTAACTGATGTGACTTCATTAGTATCAGTTGATGGAACAGAGGAATTTGTAGTGGCAGGTGTGAAAGGAGGTTCAGGAATAGGAAATGATATTTGTGATGCGTTATTTGTGGGGGTGGAAGAAATTTCAGTAGATTCATATATTGGTGGGACCTGGGAAAATTATGGTTGAGTGGTTGTGTGTAAAGGTTGGGTGTTGTGAAAAGGAAAAGTGTGCTCATAAAACACTACATTTCTGGATACAAATAGAGCATGAGAATGTAGGTCATATAGGAGATATCCTTTAGTACCATGTTTGTATCCAAGGAATATTGTTTTCTGGCTCTGGGTGAAAATTTTGTTTGACCTGTATGTAAGGTGGATGCATAACATAAACATCCAAACACCTTTAAATGAATTAAAATTGGAGGACTGCCATATAGGTGTTCATGTGGTGACTTGTTATCAAGGTTTGGGCTGCAGGTTCTGTTTATAACATGGATGGCATGTGTGACAGCATAGGTCCAGAGGTTACTTGGTAAATTTGCTTGGAAGAAAAGGGCTCTGGCAGTGTTTAGGATGTGTTGATGCTTGCGCTCAACCACTCCATTTTGTTGGGGACATTCAACACAGCTCCTTTGATGAACAATTCCCTTTTTGAGATAGAAATCATTCATAAGAAACTCTTGGCCATTATCACTACGCAACACCTTTAAAGTGGTTTGAAACTGATTTTCAATGAAAGCAATGAAATGTTGCAAATGTGTTCTTGTTTCTGATTTGTTCTTCATCAAAATAATCCATGTGAAACGAGAAAAATCATCTACCAATGTAAGAAAGTACTTATGGCCATGAATAGATGCTACTGAATAAGGACCCCAAATGTCAGCATGAAGAAGCTCAAAAATTCTGTTACTTTTATTAACACTGGGATAATATGGTAATTGTCTTTGCTTAGCCAAATGGCAAGCATCACAAGGGTTTACAGGAACAGAAGATATAAAAGGAAATTGCAAAGACATGAGACGTAAAACTTCTTCTGAGGCATGACCCAATCTTTGATGCCACAGTAGTGCATCACTTTTATTTGCTGAGACATGTCATCTTGTTTTTCTGGTATCTTCTTTGTTTCTGGCATTCACTACTTTGTTGACAATCACATATAAGCCATCTCTTAGCTCAGCAGTACCAATCATCACTTGAGAATGCATCTGTTTAATGATACAAGATTCACTAAGGAATGTCAAAGTACAGTTAAGGGAAGCACAAAGTTTAGTTACTGAGATGAGGTTAACATGAAGCTCAGGTGTATATAGAACATTAGAAAGTGTTAAATTGGGTGACATGGTTACTGTCCCAGATTGGTGAGCAGTGATTTGTGAACCATTTGGCAATGTGATGGAAACAGGTTGAATGTCATTTAGGAACAGAAATTGAGACTTAACATAAGACATATGATCGGTTGCACCTGTATCAACCACCCATTGCACACCTGAGACATCATCATGAGAAGGTGTATTGACATTGGACACTCTAGCTGAATTCACCATATGTGTTGCATGTGCTGGCTGACTTGAATTATTGTTTTGCAGAAGATTCATCATCTGCTGGTATTGATTCTGAGTGAGTGTCACATTTGATTGAGAAGTATTGTTCTCAGATTCAAATTAACCTGTATTTTGTTGAACTGTTGAATTGGCTGCATGCTGACCATTTCCTCTTGTGCGAAAACCTGGAGGAAAACCATGAACATGAAAGCAAGTATCAACTGTATGGTTGAACCTACCACAATGAGTACACAATCTGTTAGAACTTGAATTTCTTCCTCCATATCCTTGGGCTCTGCCAAGACCTCTAAAGGTCCTTCCACCACTATTGAATCCACCACGATTCATTACAACAGAATTGTTGTCACGAACAGAATTGTTATCACAAACAGAATTGTTGTCACGAACAGTATTGAATGCTTGTGCATTTGCAGAATCATTAACATGAATTTCCTGCTTGAACTGTCGCTCTTGTTGTATTACCATGGAAAATGCCTTGTTTACATTTGGCAAAGGATCCAACAACATTATTTGGGAACAGACTTGAGCATATTGCTCATTCAGTCCTTTCAAGAATCTGATCACATGATCTTGTTCTCGATAGGTTCGCATCTTGCGAAGAGCTCCACAGGTGCAAGGAGTGGTGCATGTGCACACAGGAAGCGGTTTGAGACTCTCCAATTCGTCCCAGAGAGTCTTCAATTGAGTGAAAAACTCAGTTATCGAATTAGAACCTTGATGAAGTTTATAAAATTCTTCTTGTAAATCTGATATTCTAAATACATCAGATTGGGAGAAACGTTCCTGTAAATCTAGCCAAACGTCTCGTGCATTTTCGATCCAGATTATGGATTTTGTAATAGAATCAGAAATAGAACGATGAATCCAAGCCATTACCATTGTATTGCAACGCTGCCATGAGGAGTAATTTGGATCACTCTTTGCCGGTGCTTTGATGCTTCCATCTACAAATCCAAGCTTATTCTTGGAAATCAACGCTACTTGCATTCCTCGCGCCCATGTGTGATAATTGACACCTATCAGTGGTGGAGCAACAAGAACTAATGCAGGACTTTCATTTGAGTGCAAGAAAAATGGATCTGAGAGATTTGAACGATTGTCAGGTTGTATAGAACCTTGAGATGGAGTCACTATCTGATCCTCCATTGATGAATGGGGATCTCTACTTTAGAACTTTCTAGAAATTTTTTGCGGAAGGCGAAATACCAGAGCTCTTGGTTAGAGCTCTGATACCATGACAAATCTGATAAAACTCATTGTATTGAATAATCAAAAACCAGAGACATTACAAGAGTTAAGTATGAATTTATATGAAGCGTGTTACAGAAGGAACTACGTTAACTAATCGTTAGTTAACGTCTAACTAACTTAAACAAACCATAAAATAAAAAACTAACTAATTCCGTTTCTGTCATGGTTAGTGACATTTCTTGGTTCATGATCAGAGTAAGCTTGGGATACATGTGGGACCTTTGATAGGTGTGATAGCAACCACCAACTTGATATAAGAGGGAATTTGCCACTCTGCCAAGGGAAAACCAAGAACTATGCCAAGTGTGAATCTGCGACATTGTGTTGTGTTACTATTACTACTGATTCTTTGTTTGCGAAGATTAAATGTCATTGGCTTTGATTTTTGTTAGTGGTTACTTTAACACACATACAAACGTGTGCATGTATAATATTTTTCCCTAAATGGCTGTTTAGATTCTTCTTTTTCTGTATTTCAAAAAAAAAAAGATTCTTCTTTTTCTTGCTTTAAGTTGTATACTGAAGTTACAAGATCTGATGGAAAAGGTCTTTAATTTATTATAGAATTGGTCAATTAGGGTTACGCGTGCTCCGGTTTCGGATATGGTTAATTAAATAGTCTGTTTGGAACAAAAAAGGAAAGCAACGAATAATCAAGAAATTTTTTTGCCTAATATTCTAATATAAGATTTTTGAAAAGTTATGTCATTGGATAAATATTGAATTTGAAGCAGAATACTTTAGGAAAATGAAAAGTAACAGTTGTATAAAAACTTCTCCGCGCAGATTATGTACTCTGTATTATATTAATTAAACTTTTGTTTTTTTTAAAACAAGGAATCTTGGTGGGACTCAAACTAGAGCCGTCAAAACAGACTCGGCTCGGCGGGTCAACCCGCCAGACGGAGTGGGGCGGGCTGAGTTTTTTCAACCCATCTCAAAAGCGGGGTGGGGGGGGGGTGGACTCATTTTTTGGCGGGTTGATGGCGGACAGGCGGGCCGAGGCGGGTCAGTGTAAAATAGGTTCATTTTTTTAAACTAAGCACATATTTGGTTCATTTTTTTAATAGAAAATAATTATTTTTTTAAACTCTATCAGAAAATTGTAAAAAAAATAAAAATTTGACCTTGAAATATCATGTTATTTTTATTATGTTCGTTGTTTTCAAAACTTCATGAAAGAAATATTTTACAAAAATATCATATTATTTTACAAAAAAATAGAAATTGAATAAAATTAATAAAATAATTGTAAAATTATTCATAAAATTATATTAAATAAAAAAATATATATACATTCTTGATGCTAAGAATTGTTAAAAATATGTAAAATATAATATAATTGGTATTATATTAGGAAAACAATATATCTAATATGAGATAAGTTATTTCTAGCCGTTCTAAAATTAGGTTGTTTTGGTATTTAGAAAAAAAAATATAAAGTATTTTAATACTTTTATTTTTTTAAATTACGTAATTTTATAGAATGTCCAATTTTTTTTTCAAATCCGTAAAATAACATCATTATAAAATAACTTCAATCCCGTTATTAAAATTCCTTTGCGAGGCTTTTACTAACTCAATTTTTGGTATTGAAGAGCCCAAAACCCTTGACACAAAGACCAAATAAAGCCCAAGAGATCAGAGCCAACATGAAGCCCAAAAAACATTAAAAAAGCAATGACAAATTCGTAATTAAATGATTTCGCAGGGGATAACTTATAAAAAAACACGACAGTATAAAAAACATATTGGCGATTTAGGGTTTTCTCCCTCACTCATCGGTTACTCTGATAGCTCAAGAGTTTAACAGAAATCACTGCGTTTCACTGATTCAACAGCTTGAACCCTAATGGTAGGAGCCTTCGACGTCGGCGCCGTTCCTTTCAACCCCGACGGATGGGGACCACCGGACGCCGCAGCCGCCGGAAACAACAATAACAACAACCTTCCTGTCAACGTCCCCTTCGCCCCTTTCTCCCGCTCCGACAAGCTGGGTCGGATTGCCGATTGGACCCGCAATTTTAACAATCCGACTCGCCCCAAGAACCCCGCCGATTCGGCCTTCGATTTCACAAACGACGAGTCGTTCCCGGCAAATGCCGACGACGATGCGTCGTTCCGCCTGGTGGACGGTAAGCCACCGCCGCGGCCCAAATTCGGGCCCAAATGGCGGTTCCAGCAACAGCGTCAGCTTCCGCAGCGGCGCGACGAGGAGGTTGAGGCAAAGAAGCGCGAGGCGGAGAAGGAGAGGGCCCGGCGTGACCGGCTCTACCACATGAACCGGTCGAACCCTAACGCGCAACGGCGTGAAGCGGCTGTGTTCAAATCGTCGGTGGATATCCAACCGGAATGGAACATGCACGACCAGATCCCGTTCTCCACCTTCTCGAAGCTCTCATTCAGCGTTCCCGAACCGGAAGACCTTCTTCTCTGTGGTGCTCTCGAGTATTATGACCGTTCCTACGACCGAATCACCCCGAAGAACGAACGGCGACTTGAGAGGTTCAAGAACCGGAACTTCTTCAAAATTACTACCACTGATGACCCTGTGATTCGTAGGCTCGCTAACGAGGATAAAGCTACCGTTTTTGCAACCGACACTATTCTGTCGACTCTGATGTGTGCCCCTAGGTCTGTTTACTCGTGGGATATCGTGGTTCAGCGTGTTGGGAACAAGTTGTTCTTCGATAAGAGAGATGGGTCGCAGTTGGACTTGCTTTCTGTTCATGAGACCTCTCAGGAGCCTTTGCCTGAGGCTAAGGATGATATCAACTCGGCTCATTCTTTGAGCGTTGAGGCAGCTTATATCAATCAGAATTTCTCCCAGCAAGTTTTGATCAGGGATGGGAACAAGGTGACTTTTGATGAGCCTAACCCTTTTGCTAATGAGGGTGAAGAGGTTGCTTCTGTGGCTTATAGGTATAGGAGGTGGAAGCTTGATGATGATATGTATCTTGTTGCGAGATGTGAAGTGCAGAGTGTTGTTGAATTGAACAAGCAGAGGTCTTTCCTTACTTTGAATGCATTGAATGAGTTCGATCCCAAGTATTCGGGTGTTGATTGGAGGCAGAAGTTGGAGACGCAAAGGGGTGCTGTGTTGGCCACTGAGCTCAAGAACAATGCAAATAAGTTGGCTAAATGGACTGCTCAAGCTCTGTTGGCAAGTGCAGATATGATGAAGTTGGGATATGTGTCTAGGATTCATCCTCGTGACCATTTTAATCATGTGATTTTGGCTGTGGTTGGATATAAACCCAGGGACTTTGCGGCCCAGATTAATCTGAACACATCGAATATGTGGGGAATTGTGAAGTCTATTGTGGACTTGTGCATGAAATTGAATGAGGGCAAATATGTTCTTGTGAAGGATCCATCTAAGCCCCAGGTTAGGATTTACGAGGTTCCTGCAGATGCATTTGAAAACGACTATGTTGAGGAGCCTCTTCCTGAAGATGAACAAGTTCAACCTCCAGCAGAGGGAGCGGATGGTGTAGACGCAGCTGCTACCACGAATGACGTGGAAGATAAGCAGATTGATGATCAAGCTTAGAATGTAATTGTACTAACTTAGCTTCATCCTCTATTTCGTTTTATTAATGTTATACATGTTGGATGACTGTTTTTTGAGTTATGAAAATGTTTATGAGTTGCTTATTTCTTTGTGACTTGTTATAATGGCATGTTATATTTTGTTATTCTTATTTTTGTGGTTATAGCCATACAGTAGCTTTCCTTTATAATTGTTATTGTAGATGGCTTATTAGGAATTAATCATGCATGTTGGTTTCAGTTCATAACTTCTTTGAAAAGTTTGTAATGCATTTTGAATTGTCCTAGCCCTTGTTCCAAAACTTTTCTGGTTTATTAATTCTTTGGATTCATTGCTCATCTCCCCTTATCATAATTTATATGTGCCAATTGCATAGATAATTGATGTTCCGAGTATCTGTTGGTATGTATGTTGGTGTTCTGCAAGTTGTATTCCCAGATAATTCTAACCACATCTCAAGTATTAGAGAATGGACAATTAGACTGAATGTTTGGTGAAAAGTTGGTAATGGCTTGCTTAAGTAAATGAGGCTACAATTGATTAAGTATATTTAAATTTTCCAACTTTCCAAAATGATGATCTTTATTGTTTCATTTGGGATTTTGGTTCTGGTAGTGATATATGTTCATCTGCACTGCTACACTTGTTTGTTTGAATATCCAGAATCTATGGATTGGGTAATTTGTCCCTCAAAACTTTGTTAACAACACTATGCCTTTGAGCTTCAGCATGATGCATGTCTGTGCACATGCATCTGTTACTTTGCTACTCATGTTCTTCCTAAGCTGAATTGCTACTTTTCATTCAGTGATCTCATGCCATATTTTCAATGCCTTGGCTCAATTGTGCCAACCTTCCCACTCTTATCTCATAATTTCTGCTCTCATCTTGTCTTCCAATAACTTGGTCAACATTTCTGTGGCCATAATTATTTTCGAAGTCTTTGAATTTTTCTCGTTTCTTCTGTTTTGGGAGCTCCCACTCTTATGCTTTGTTGTAGAGAAGAACCCAATCCTAAAATCCCAGCTAATAAGAGGGAAGAGCCTCAACTTTGAACGAAAGTTCCTGTTCTCAGACCTAGCAGATATAAGATTAGCACTCCAAAGTGCTCTTCTGTGCTTGGGTTTGGTGAAACCAGTTTCTACTGCTATAATGCCGCTTGACATGGGGTAGACTTATTTTTCATTCTCTCAGTGTCTTCTGTACATTTATTATTTTAACGTCTTCTCTTTCTCCCATTCACTCTCCTCCAGTTGAAGCTATGGCTATTATGGTTGCTATGTTTTACTGTCTGTGGACTACGACCATTGGCATCAATTGATGACTTCACCAATTAGAGTTCTTGATTCTATTCTTCTATAGTTTAATGGACATGCAAAATATTTTATTAATAAGTCATGAATGACATTAGAAAATAACAGCACCCCGATAAAGTTACTGAATCTTAAATGTGCATGATTAAAGAATTCTAGAAATAATCTTCATTTCCCCAACGAAAAAGAAAAAAGGGGGCACCTGTTCTAGAGAATTAGCCAGGTATAGGGTGCATCTCAAGATGAAGGTCCAAGAGAAAAACATGGCTTATAGTGATTGCTAAAACTATTGAGTTCGGTAGGTGTAATGGTTTTGCTGTTGGTGGTGGTGAACTTTACATCCTTTGTGATGATACTATGATATTCGTTCTCAATGAAATTATATTTGAATGCATTTAGTGATGTTTTCCAGGCACTAGGCTGAATAAAATGCATGGTTTTACTTTCCATTGGTTTCACCCAGTGTTTTTCTATATTTATATTGAACTGTTGTTGTATCTATTCTGGGTTGTTGTTTTTTCAATAATTTAACCTGAACTTTGTCATGCCATTTGACACATCATGTTACTTGTAGATCACTCAGGATGTTTCATTTAAGAGCATTAGAAAATGGTTAAACATTAGGTCAAATGTTGGAGGGGGCAGAATAATTCATGATGTGGTCACTATGGACAATTGAAGCTTCCGTAGTTTGATGACTACAACAATTGCAGAGTACTTAAATTATTGTCCTCAAGTAGCGTTATGCTGTCTTGTATTATGTCATTATATAAGTTGGAGTCGTGCATCCTTCTACCAGGACAGTAGAAGTTGTATTGCTTTTGTTGGAAGAATTATTTTAGGGTGAACCCTCTACTTGGTCTTCCAAAAATATTTGTTACCAAATTAGTCCTTAAAAAACTAGCATGTCACTACACACGCCGTCCAAAGATTTTGTTACCAAATTAGTCTCGGATCTAAAATGTTATAATAGTTTTCCTTGTAGAGGAATAAATTAGGCACAGAAAAAGAATTTGGTAATTGTTTTGTATATTTGAAGGACTAATTTAATGACAAAAATCTTTTGGATAAACAATGTGGTGACATTCTAATCTTTGGAAGATCAAGTAGAGGGTTTACTCCTTTTTTTTAATAGTAAAACTTCACACAAATCTCATTATGCATTTATTGTTGAGACATTTATCATATTTCTACTGGCTTTTAGTACCTTAAGGATATTCAGTGATTCTAGATAGAGTTACCATTGCATGCATTTGAATGTCGTTTTTTTTGTTCACAAGTCATTATTTGAACCAGTTATTATGCTAACGGTAAATACTAACAGTTAAGCTGTGATTTTTTGGGTGGATGTAGGTCAGATGTTTATGGGGGTCACAACGGCCGTTCACTTGGGAGCAGATCTTCACCCATAATCATTTTCTCTTTTCCGCTGCCCAAAATTTTGCAATTTAACTTCAAGATATTCCTGCGGACCAAAAAGTTTTAAAAGCCACTGAGTTTTTAGTTGTAACATTTTGTTTATGATTTATAAACCTGAGCATATTTAAGTGAAAATCAGTACGTTTCAACATTGTATCATGCTCATTTGTGTCTGAATTGATCATTTTAGCATTGTGCCAAGGGTTATTATGCAAATCCATATGTATTTATTTATAATGTCATGTGGTTTACAGGATTCCATGTATTGGCTGACAGTGGTCTCGAAAATCGAAAGCTAAATTTTTTTATTGTAGAACTGGGGAAATTAATTTAGTTTATTATTATGTGCTCTATTTCTAAACGACAAAATTATGGTAATGCAAACATGCTTTATTTCTGAGTATATTATTATCTTTGTTCTGCTTGACCTTTTTTTTTAAGAGTCGTCGGTGATGGCCCTGCTACATGAATAATAAATATAACCAAATTACCACATCAGGTATGTCTTAAATTGACATGAAGATATTCATATTAACTTCGACAAATTACCGTATCATAAAAAAGCCCATAGGTTAATTTAAATTGACGTGAATCTCGAACCTACAACTTAGCTACAGGTCTAAGACAGCACTCCATCCGTCCAAAGCCAACATAAATTTAAATTGGCAATATTGTTTTTTCCCAATTAGGATCTAATTAGTCTTAATCAAATTAGTGAGAGAAGAATAATGAAGTTTTAGTAATATTTTAAGTACTTCAATATAAACATTTCATTCAAATGAATTTTTTTTACTCATATAAGAGGATTCTTAAGTTATCCACAGTTGTACCCATCAGTGGTGAATCTTCTTTAGAACATAGGGACATCGCTCCACCCACCCCCTCTTAATTTTTTAGAAAACAATATATATGTGGTGCATTCTCTATAAGTCAGGGAATTAGTTTCCCAAGCTTGGACAAACACACTAGAGATATTGCTTTCATAGATGAAGATAAAACAGAAATTTTCACACAAACATCAATTGCATTTTTTTAGTGTATTCACCCCTCCTTCTTTTTTTAACTGTTAGTGATTTATTTTCATGCTCTTGTCATCAACAAAAAATAAGGCCCAGTCTTATAACTAAATTTATAGTTATATAATTTTAAATTGGGCAAAATTAATTGAATTAGTCATTCAATTAATTAAACTGGAAAAATATTATTTAAAAATAATAATTTCCTCACGTATTATAAATATCTTCGTTTTATATCATCGCAATATGACATCATCCAATTTAAGCAATAAGTTTAAATAGTTAAACTGATTCAATGATTACAAAAAAGAAAAAAATCTGGCTTTAATAACGTTAGTCATATTCCTAAATTATCAATTAGGAATATTAAATTTTCTGTTATTTTAATAGTAAAAGCCAATTTTTACTTGGAGATGAAGTAAAATTTATAGGTCCTATATTTTTTCATGTCTACTTTATCTACTCATTTTGAACATTTTATATCAGAATATTAAGATGAGAGAGAAAAAGTAAAAGTTAATTGAAATTCTGATCTAACGATATTGGAGATGAATAAGCAGAGTAGACATGAAAAAAGATAGGCGCAGTATCCTATCCCAAATTTATGTCATAAGTAACCCGAAAATAAAATGCGAAATGCTTATTTATGTCGTTAAAAATAAGCTGCAAATAAATGGAATCAATCCAAAACAATTATAAGACAAAAAGAATTAGAGAGAACAGATTATAAATTATATTAGAATATAAGTCATACCACTATTATATATAATTGGAGGTTGAAGAAAAATACAAAAAAAATTTCATTTCCCTAATAAAAAAATACTATAATATTTCATTATTAATAAAATTCATTTGTAATAATTTATTTAATTTTTAAATACAATAATGGATGTTACAATAGATTCTCCCTTATGACGTTCTAAATGTTGACGTTGAGCATATGTTAAATAGTACCCCTAGTATATGCCCCTTTAACTCATCCATCCGAGTAAATTATTAGAGCTTAGCACCGATACGACACGTGACACGATACAACATAACACTCCGATATATTAATCCTAAAAAAAATATGGATTTTGACACGTTGGGACACGTTTTAATATTAAATAATATATTTAATTTATATTGCGTATATTTCATTTAATATTAAATAATTTTAACAAAAAATGAAACTAAATTAATAATACCCATCGACACGTTATAAAGGTGGAAGCTTTAATAAAAAAAATAGGAACTGGGACGAGAGAGAGATAATATCAGATATAGAGATAAAATCAAATTATAGAGAGAGATCAGAGAGAATGAGATACAACAAGAGCGTAATAAGAATTGACAACAATGATGCTGAGATAATCTTATTTACTTAAGGGGAAAAAAGGAAAAAAATAAAATAAAATTGATATGATCAGGTGGAAGCTTTATTAATATATTTCAATTTTTTTTTAAAAAAGTTTAAATTTATTTTTTAAAATTTATTTTTTTTTACGAAAATGTCATTTGATCGTGTCGGAGCGTGTCGGACACAGTCAAATTCGCGTGTCGAAATGGTTAACGTGTCGGAAATGTTGACCGCGTGTCGAAATATGTCGACGTGTCGAACACGACACTCTTTATTTTTTGAAGTGTCCGTACTTCCTTGCTCTTAGCAGCTAATTAAGGGTGTAAATAAAGCAAATAATTTTTTTATTACGGACTCACAGTCCGATCTATAATATTTTGTTAAAACAGACCTAATATATATAATAAATAGAATAGACTTGGACCTTAAAAAACATCCATTCAAAAAATAGGTTATAACTCTACTTTTATAAAACCCCACCTATAAATCTATAGGCGAGCATATATCGTATTATTTATTTTAATTAAAATAAAATAAATAAATATTTCAATAAATTTAATTAATAAAGTAATTTTATTTAATTTATTTTTTCTAATTCTTGATAGGTATTGAAGGTATAATAGGCTAATAAGCTTGGACTAAGCCTTTTGATTTTGTAATGTAGGTCCAGACCAATAATTTAACTTACACTAGCCTACTAGACTAGGTTAGGCTCAAAATATTTATCATTAACCTAATTTATTTATATCAAAGTCTATGTCAGCTATTATTTTACTAAAAGGAAAAATACATAAGAACCATATATTATTAATCATGAAAATAAAAATAATTGTAAATAAATGAACTATTATCTTTTTTCAATTTTAATAAGAAATACATTGAGTCTTCAATTTTTATTTTTTTTATTTTGGTAACAAGAGTCTTCAATTTTAGTAGCAATACAAAGATAATTTTATTCACAATTCATCTTTGCTTTTTTAATCTTTATTTAATGAAATTTGCTAACGAGTATTATTTTTATAAATTAAACTCATTAATTAATTAATAATTTGTAATAAATGATAACCGTTGATTGACGAAAATTAACGGTTAAGATATGGTAGTAATATTGGTAGTAATATTATTTGTTTGTTACAATATCTTATCCCTAAAAAAAAAATACATTCCTATTTTTTAATATTTGAGAATATTATTAGCAACTAACAACTGTTAATTTAAATATGGAAAAAGTTAAAAAAAAAAACCGTGTTTTACTCTTTTATAATTTATACACCTATGTTTTTTTTAATCATTTAGGGCATGTTTGGTGCATAGTATAGAATAAGACCTGATAGTATATGGCCTGATTAAATCTTAATACTATCTAGCGTTTGGCATGATATTGTATAAGCTAATGTATTGTATAAGATAATATCATCAAGTATTTGGTAATGTACTGTATAATACTAGATACGATAAAAATAAATATTTTCGAAAAAAATATCCTTTAATAAAAAATTTATATAATTCTTCAAAATATGTCATATTATTATTTTTTATAAAAAATAAAAATCTTTAATATTTTAAAAATTAATATATTGAAAAATTATTTTTTATTTAATATATTAATATTAAAATAATATATAAATTTTTTATAATTGCACTAGTAAGCAATATTAATGCAGCAACCCATTATAAGACATTATCTCATTCCCTTAGGTCTGATTAAGTTATATGTCATTTCGATGTATTAAGAGATTCTGCTGTATAAATTTATACTATACGATGGTCACACCAATTAATTAAAAATGTCATAACGTATAGTATAAGCTTATACTATCAGGCCTTATACCTCACATCAAACAGGTCCTTAATTTCCTTATGATTTTTTTCCATCCAAGTTCTCCTTTAATATCATTAATAATTGAATTAACTTGTCCATTTTATACTTATTTTATCTATATAAAAAGCTGCTATAATTAATTTGATCTTGGTCCCCGGCAACAAACTGCTTTGATGATTTGGTGATTTAGACCAAAATTTGAATGATAGATTAGTGCTTTTAATGGAGACAAAACAAGGATAAAATACAAAAATTAGTTCAATTACTAAGCATGATAAATATAGACTTGGATGAAAAGAACCTATGTAGCACCGATACTGACACGGGACACGTGAGATGATACGACACGACACTCCGACACATTAATTATAAAAAATGTTAGATTTCGACACGTCAGGACACGTTTTGACATTAAATAATAATTTTAATTTATGTAGTGTATATTATATTTAATATTCAATAATTTAACGAAAAAATGAAACTAAACTTATAGTATTCATCAATTTTGTAAAGAAACATAAAACATTTCAAATATTTATATTAAACTCAATAAAATGGTAATCGAAATTCAACGAATCTAATAGTTGAAACAAAAAACTCAACGCAATGCAACTTTTGAACCTTTTTTGAATTTCTTTAACACGTGTTAGAGTGTCAGGAAGTGTCGGACACGACACGTCAGGGTTTTTGAAGTGTCGGTGCTTCATAAAGAACTATAGAAAATACAAGTGATAAAAGAAAAATATAAAGGATAAGTTATAAAAGAGTAAAGCATATTATTTTAATTTTTTTAACTTTTTCACTTAAAATAATAAGGAGTTTATCCACTGAAACCGAGATCTATATTTCCATTCCAATTGCACAAAACAAAGAAAAAAGTGCTATTATCAAGGACTTTGGAAACTCCTACATCTGCCTTGCAAGAGGTGGAATATTCTCAAATAGTGGGAAACAACTATCAAGCCCAAGCCCACTATGCATGCACATCGTTTTTGCCATTACTCACGCTGCCCTTGGATATGAAGTAAATTTTTAAGTTGACGTAACATTGTTTTAATTTTTAAAAATCAAAGCAGCCAAAACTTAATTAGTTTAATAAACTAAATTTGTGATTT